TTTTTTGTTTTATCCACTATGGCGGATTTAGTACCATGTGACCGTTTCATGCAAAGGCCTATATGTTAACTGTATTTATAGCAGTGATATAACCGAAGTATAAACACATAAACTTTAGGTATAGCTGGAGCATTTCAAGTACAGCTTAAATCCCTTGAAGACAAACATCTTCCACAAATACAAGAACACGACGATTCAGGCGTTTACTTGTCAAGGTAYACAACTCTACATTCCAATGATACCCATGCTACAATCAAGAGAGAATGGACCAACAAAGACTACGTACTGTTGCCCGATGGTACACCAGCGAAAGGAGAACACAAAGTTCAATCCCAGCATACTGGTACAGTACATATTGGACATGGCCAAATATTCAAAGTCCACCGAGAACATAATGGCATTTTCGAGAATCCAAAGGGTARTCCAAGAGCAGAGAATAAGCCTGAATTTCAAGASARTGAACAAGATATTCAAGTACTCACYAGTGGATAYAGTAAGTTGAATCTAATAGGATGTGAAGATTATCCAAACTCTCATCAWCATCATCGATCTAGAAGAGAAACATTGATGAAAGAYGCCCACGAGCAAGAAATTCAAGGGCTTTACCGTGATAATCTGGTGTTCAAGGACACGCATAAGATCGACTGGAAAAATGTCGGYGGTGAAAAGATGACMTTCAGGCCTTTCTATAACTTGATGAGGTGCTTCACAGACCCAACAGTTAAAGACAGAGAGATTGGAGATTGTGCAAGAGAGAYTCATAAACTAGCAAAACACGATAGCAGTGTGTTTAAGAAGATTTGCGATCTGGTGCTGSAAAGAGYCCATCAGAACGTAACGTCATGGTCTGTACTTGTGAGTGTTTTAGCAGGTCAAGGAAATCAACATGCGCAAGACGTCCTTGCTAGAGCCTTGATGGCCGAATATCCACGAAAGCTGACACTTGACGAATACGAGGCCCTTTTAGAAGGCATTTTCTACATACCTAAAGGACCTCTTCACAGAAAACTGTTTGATGCTCTTCTTCAGCATGYAAAAAGAGACAGCAACCATGGACACCAGTCGCCAATGGCAATGTTGGTTCTTTCAGGMTTAGTAAAACGGGCAGAGGCTGCTGGATATAATAACTCGCTATCGGATATCGTTGTTCAATTGATTCATCGCAGTTATAATAACAAATCAAATATCTACCATCCCGAAAGCGAAGAGCATGAAACATTCTTAAGAAACCATATATGGGCCTTTGGTAATCTTGGACATCTCTCTGGACTCAGCACTATGCTTCAACATGCAAACCACGATAGTTCAGGAATCAGGTCAGCTGTAGTGTCTGGCATGCGTAAATTACCAGCAGAACACGTGGACAAGTTTCTGTTGAATACTCTTCTCAAGGATGAGCGAAATGATGTCAAAGCTGCCGTTATGGAAGTTTATATTGAACGTCATCAGGATTTGAGTAATGAAATAGTTGAAGCTCTTGAACACGCTTTTTGGCATGCWGAGGATAACGATGTACTTGATGAGACGGTGCAAACTTTCCTTGAAAATCATCACAACCACCCTAAAGCCAAGCATGTCCGAAAAAGAAGACATATTCTGAGACGGCAAAAGCGTGCTTTGATCCCAGCTCTTAGACCACGAGAGATTGAACTTGGACCCAATAGAAGGTGGCTAAAAACGTTTGGTGGTAAATATCTGGGCGCCGAATCTGCCATTCAATTCCGAAACCAAGTTAAGTTAAGAATCGGAATATTYGGCGGGAATTTCCAAGTAAACCTYGACAACTACGCAAAAATAGACGCCCGTATCTTGAAATGGGGATTTGACATTGTCAAAGGTAAAGCAGCCTTCAAAGCTTCGGCAAGTTTCAAGAATGACATTCCTAAAGATCTTATCCACGCAATTGCCGACGCAGGTGACGATATTTTTTCCAAAGTTGATGGAATAACCAACATMATCGTAGAGCACATAGAAAAGTTCAAAGAAAAGCTCAAGAATCTCGTCCCACTGAATTTACAGAAGTTAATTGACTTTGTAAACAAGATAGTGAAGTTTGTCGAAAACCTCTTCAAACCATTAAAGCCGATTAATGTCATGAAGAAGATACTCGCTCTTGCTAAAAAGATCATTGAACGCCTGAAGAACTGGGAGTGGCTCATGAAGAACATCAGAGGTATTCAAATAACTCTCAACAAACTGACGGTCGTCGATAATGTGTTTAAAAAAGTAATGGGAGCACTRAACAAAATCATGAGTATCATCAACAGCATCAAACTCCGTCTACCACATGGCTTACCACCAAACTTTAAAATCGAGGATTTGTTAAAATGGCTGAAGTCTGTATCAATTGACCTTCATGACATMAAAATTAAAGAATTTTTCAAGTCCCTCGGACTGAATTTCGTTCCCAAAGGATTTAATCTGCAGATGCCTTTCAGATTTTCTATCCATTTTTCATTTTCGATGGATAAGTTCATTGATATGTGTATGAAAATTATTAAGTTTGCTAATAACTTTCTGGATTTGTCTTCACTTCTGGATGCACTTGAAAATATCAGACTTCCACGTTTGAATCTACCAAGACTMGAAGCAAAGTTTCCCMTTCAGCCGGTAAAATGGTTCAACTTCGGACTAAGCTTCGATTGGAAAATCAACCTGAAGTTTGACCTTGACCTGAAAAGCCCAAATTTCTTGAAGTTCCTTAATGTCCTTGGCAAACTTAGYGACTTCTTYAAAAGATTCAAGCTACCGTCATTCAATTTGGAGCAGTTTTTTGAAGATATAATGCCAGATMAGTTATTGGATCTGTCTAAACTCTTCCAGGAACTKTTTGGTAAAAACAGTAATTCAACTGCTGTTGGTCGAAGTCCAGCTGATGTTTTACAAGAYTTTTTTGATAAAGTTCTTAAATTGATTGATTCAGCWATGCCAAATATAACTGCCATCAGCGATATAACAGACTTCTTCAAAGAACTCGGCCCAGAAATGAAGGAATTTGCGAAAAACAGTGCCAAGAAAATTTGTAGCGTCTACAAAATTGCTTTAAATTCGTCTCGCGATTTGAAGACGTTTGGAGAAAACATTGAAAAACAAGGAATAGCRATACTAAGGAMGGTGGACAACACAACTCAAAGTGCACTTAAAGAACTTGTACAATACACTGTGATGATGGATAGGCTAATTGATGACATMGAGAAAAACTTCACTTTAGCAAGTCGTGGTTTTGTGTCRAAGTCCYTAAAGGAGCTTTCTAAAAGCCTTCRRGAAATCCAGTCACTTGCAGATAAAGTTGTACAATTTGCAAATGGAACATCGKCTAAGGCTAATGGAGTYTGTAACAAAGCAGCAGACTTYTCAGCAAACGTAATTGATGATGTCCAGAATGTTTCAAGGCAAGCGTTGTCAGAGTTAACAAGTTTCATTGGACCTGTTTCTCAGAAAATAAAAGGCATTGGACAAGATCTTAAACTAGCTGTKAACAATATAGAAGCGTGGTACAAAGAGAATATGGAAGTTCGAGTTGGWAAAATATCAAAAATYGCTCGTCTTGTTGCTGATTTCATGTCCATATTAAACACTAAGAAAGGATTTCTTGGAAAAGTCCATGAGATTGCTGTTAAAGTTAATAATATTCTAACACACATGAAGAACATCCCTGCTTATGCTCAGAAGGCTCGTGAAACAGCAGACGATATCATTAAATTTGCTGAACGCGCACAAACGTTCAAGGATGATATTGGAAAGCTTGACATCAGAAAAGAGTTCCGTGTGGACTATGATCGGAAGGTTCGTGAATTTTGTGACAAGTTCAAGAAAATGGCAGCTGAAACGCTGAATAAAATCGGWGGTTATGATATCGTTGATGAAGTMAACGAATTTTTCACCGAGGAGGCTGAAAAACTTATCACAACMGCAGGATCTAAGCTTCGCCGAATAAAGCAACCAATCGAAGAAATCAGAACGGACTTGAAGGAAATATCCGTCATGGTGAATCACGTCATCGATGTGATGATAAATTTAAAGCCMTTCAGYAATAACTTTTCTCCGATTTTGGCCACTGTTAACAAACTCCCGGATTGTCAGCAAGCTGTCAAAATTCTAATTGAAAGTACAAAGCCTTGTGTCCAGAAAGCGATGGTTGTTGGAAAGTATGCGATTGACCAGTACAAAGATATGCGTAAAGAAGTGAAAATCTTGTACGACATGATCCCTGAGACGTGGAAAAGCCTTAAGATCCAGAAATGCATCAAAGGARGTGCTTGTATTTCAAAGACATTTACCGACCAAGCCAAAGTTATCCAGGAAAAAGTTGAAAAGATAAAGGACAGTTATAAAGAGGCTAGTGGGTATACRGATATGCTTGGWACCTGTCGAGCTGGTTTGGATAACATTACTCAAGTCATCGACACTGTGAAGCTGTTAATYAAGCAGGTAAAAGATTTCAACTTAAAAGATGACGTGAAGAAGATTAAGGATATGCTGCGTAATATAACTGGACGAAATCTCGCTCAACCTGGTGGAAATCCGCCGGTAAGATCAAAACGRAGTATAAAAGACGTCAAAGACAAGATTAAACGAGTCATGGATTACGTTCAAAAAGCAAAGGAAACAAAGCAAAAGCTTGAAGAAATATTGCAAAATACTTTCAAAGCTATGAAATCCGTGTACGATAATGCGATCTTTGAGCACATCAAAAAGATCGAGGATGTCAGTAAGAAAGTCAATACGTCATATGAACTTTGGAAGAAGACCAARGATGTCAACGCTATTCTTCAAGGWCTTGACAACCTCATCAAGGAATCCTCAGACTACGCAACGAAAATGACTGCAATCACTAATGGATTTTCGAGTCCAGTTGTGAARCTACTCACAGACACCGGAGAGCTTAGTGATGTCATAAAACCATACATGTCCAAATACATTGGTGAAGTTAAGGAAGCYACTGAWAAGATCAACGGATTTTTCAACAAAGTAACCGAATTTCAAAACAAAATACAGCTWCGTCAAAAGGGTCTCGACTTGTCGCAATATAAGGAGTGGACTGAGTATCCATACTGCTCAGCTGATGTTTGCCTGCGACCCCTTAGAAGGTCATCATCGCTGTACTATAGCACGATCTTCACTTGGAAGTTTCCCCATCTGGATGACCTATCATCTATGAAGGACACTGGTCGGTGGCTCACACCAGGGCTGTTTGACGATTATAAAGTCGAAGGCATTACTCAACTCTCTAACTCGGAAATTCTATTGGGTATGCACGGAGTATCGTCGAACAAGGGCAAAGCATCGTTATTGGTTGTCACAGATCTTGGACGAAATTCTGTYAAGAAAATMATCCAGTTAGGAAGTCCTCARTCGCCCTTCACGGTCGCAATTGGTGGGATTACTATTGCTAAAGATACCATATGGATAAGCGATRGCGAGTCTAACAAGGTCCATCGTATTAGTAAAGGATCAGTTACTGGAAGTATGGGATCTGCAGCTCCCTCATGGATTGGAATTTCTAAATCTTACTCTGTTSAAGGCATTGGAACGTCTGTTTCTTTTGATGAACAGAMKAAAATGCTATGGATTACGGATGGCAACGCAGGGAAAGGCTATGGTTACCTTTTAACTCSTTCAGGTGATTTGCTATCAGGMAAATTAGCTCCAGACAAGGTTTTAGTTATTGGTAAAGATGCCCAGGGTATGGCCATAGTAAGGCAGTTCAGTACAGATTTTGTTGTGGTCTCACGGTGTGCGTGGCGGGCTGGTTATCAATGYAAGCTTGAATTTCACGATCTTACTGGTGGAGATGAAGTAAGCGAAAACTCGTTGTCCAGAGTCGTGCGCACACCGTCTGGTCTAGAATCAGTCAACAAGGTTAGAGACGATCTCTTGGTGATCGCTTTCTCAAGTGGAACATACAGCGAAAAGGATAAGATTGAGAGTATTGGAGGTGACTTTGAAGACAGGTACTTCCGTATGAAACTCCCTATTCTTAAGATGACATTTGGCATTACAGAGAACTGCCTCATGTTTAAGGTTATGGGAGAGTGGATTATCTCTCCCCGAARAYTATTCCCTATTGGTGATTTGCGTTGTGGTGCATTGCGCAAACGAAGTATACAAAACGARCTCCTGGAATCTGATGTCTACTCCCAAGAGCTTGAAGAAGTTCAYAGCAGAACAAAGAGGAGCTCTGGAGAAGTACCATCGTGCATGACACTATTTCGAGGCAATGTGAGAAGAGGATATCAACAGTTTATGCCTGAATGGCAGCAAGTCATTATTGTCTTCGGTATTCCCGTAAGACTATTCGCCGGTGCTGGAGGATATTGGTTTGTTGACTATCATGGCAAAGTATGTATGAGAGACAGGACATTTAAARTAGGGCTTATTCCAGGTGCTTGGATAAGTGTTTATGCTGGTGCTAGTGTCAGTCTTTGGATCGTCGAGGCAGGAATAACAATCGAAGCGATTCTGCTTGAGACCTATCTCATCCCAGAGCTWACAGTYAAGATAGACAGATGGCCTCTTAAAGCATGCATCGAACTCAAAWTGCGAATGACTCCTTTAAAGATTCGTGTATGGTTGTGGTATCGATTYAGACTTTGTATCAAAATCCGGTGCAAGTGCTTTTCATGCAGCATCAAAATTAGATGGTGTAGCAAGAAGACTTTKGCTGAGTGGTGGTGGTCGGCAAGACAAATTGAACGGACTCTTTTTTCAACTTGCAAAGAAGACGTCGACAGAACACCACCTGTAGCTGGTACTTGCACTGCGAGACAAGTAGGAGACAAAGCGTACTTTGTTCAGTGGCATGGCTTTAAAGAAGACACACGTATAAATCATTAYTGGGTTAAGATCGGATCTATCTCGGGGTCTGGTGATGACTACGGAGCTAACCATGGAACTTCACTGAGTGCCTTGGTCAAAAATATACCAATAATGGATGGAAGAGAYGTGTTCGCAAGTGTACGAGCCACAAACGATGGGGGACTTGACAGCAGTTTGTCTCTTTGTCCATTGTTTAAAGCTAAACGAATTGGACCACAAATTCGTTTCGTGTACGATGGATCACAGATCGGCGTAGACAAAGATTTCCAATCTGACGATTTCGGCATGGGGCTCAATTTTGAGTGGAGCAATGCTAACCAGAAAATTGTTGACGTAAAATGGGGTATCTCCAACGATTCRAAATGCACTTTCAATGAGAAGGAAGTAGACGTTTATGGCTTGGCTCCTGTTGGGGAGACGACGTCTATCCAAACATCAGGACTAAGCCTAAAACATGGTCACAAATACTATACAAGAATCATTGCTACCAACTCTGTCGGTTTGAGGACAATAATGTGTAGTGATGGAATAACTATAGACAAAACCCCTCCAATTGCTGGAMGTTTCTATGACGGAGCAGGAGAAAAAGATGCTGATTTTATGCCTTCGACAAAACGAGTACGTGCAACATTCGAGTCTTTTACGGATGGAGAAAGCCCATTGGTCAAATATGAGTGGAAAGTTGTGCAATACATCAACCTYAAACCCACCGATGTTACACCGTTTGTTAATATACTTCTTTCTCARAGGACACCACTTATGGAAAATCTTGATCTTCAGCTTGGACAAAGATATAATTTAGTCTTGCGCGGAACAAATGCTGCCGGATTGCAGACAACAAAAGAATCCAATGGATTTGTTGCTGACAACACAAGCCCAACTTGTAAGTCTGTGCTGGATGTTGTTAGCATTAACGATAGCTCAGATGTTGATTTTGTCCGACAACTTAAAAGCATACAAGCAAAGTGGAGCTGCATRGATCAAGAAAGTGGCATCGCAAAGCAATTCATTGCTGTTGGGACTTACCCRGGAGGAGATGATGTCAAACAATTTGAAAACATCSAAAACAGCAGCGTAGTGCAGTTCGAGGACGGCAACTTTGCGAAGTTTGACAATCTTGAAATCAAACCAAAAGTACGCTACCACGTTACTATCAAGGCCTACAACGGGGCCGGACTTCGTCGAACGGTAACTTCTGATGGTATTCTAATAGACACAACTCCTCCGTCTGTGGCTTTGCAGTATATCAAAGATGGCCTCCAAGGAAAAGACGTAAATTATACCAATGAACGATTTAGCTTCAGTGCTCATTGGAAACAAGCCTTTGTCGATGCAGAAAGTGGTATGGCTGAGTTTCGTATAGGACTGGGTAGCGTTCCTGGAGCTACCGACGTCAAGGCACTGWCAAAAATTGGAAAGGAAACCAAGGCTACGTTGACAGGTCTGGTACTAGATGCTGGTCGAAAGTATTACGTTACAGTGGTCGGTTGCAATGGAGTACAGATGTGCATCAATGGAAGTAGTAACGGTGCCGTTGTTGATTTTGTACCGCCGCACACTGGCTTAGTGATTACCGGCTATACTGGACCACCTGTTGTTTTCCAGTGGATAACTAAATCCGTTTGGGCTCGTTGGAACTGGTGCCCCGAAGACAAGAGTAGATCGACTGCAATAATCAATCCTTCGAARTGTSCAAAAAATACCTTCTATGATRTGCACTCTGGTATCACAAGTTTTGGGTTGTCAGTAGGCTCCTTAGCCAGTGATGAACTTCTAGATGCTTTTACTGAAGTCGGTAAAGTTCAAATGAGCGGGAGATCGATTGATTTGAAAGATGGCATTTATGCCGTTGCTGTTAGAGCAAAAGATAAAGCTGGAATGGCAGCAAATGGCTTATCCAACACTTTTATTGTGGACAGCAGCCCTGTAAWGATCATCAATATTCAACATGGACATCAAGGTACAACCATCAGGTATACCAAAGACCATGAGTACCGATTTCAAGCGTATTTTGAGTTGGAAGATGATTTGTCTCGGGTCTTCGGATTTCAAGTGTATGTGGGCAGCTATCCAGGAGCAGATGATGTCAGTGCCTCTCCAAATATYCGAGTGYTRAGACCACCTTACAATCTTGCTATGAACTGGACAGCGGAAAGGTCTACTAAACTCGAAAACAATAGAAAGTACTTTATCACAGTCCTTGCTTCYAATGGAGCTGGTTTAATTGGGAGTGGATCTTCACAAGCACTCTTCTCAGACACAGAACCACCAAAGCATGCCATTGTACTTGATGGCTGGGGAATGGAAGATGTGAAATACCAAAGCTATTCATCAATATATCGAGCACACTGGTATGGAATAAAGGATTTTTCTGGTATACATTCTGTCTATCTTGGGTTAAAGAGTTCATTTGACAAACAARATTGCGATGTCAAAGCTTACGAACTTGTCCCTAACAACGCCAATTACCATGTGCTATATGGCCTCAATCTCAAATCTGGCTCTAAATACTTTGCTTGTCTTAAAGTCGTTGACAATGCTCAGAATACTGCTTATTTCTCATCGAATGGAGTGATAATTGACACCAGTCCTCCAGYTCCTGGACAAGTGATCGATGGTATTGGGTCGGATATTRATGTGCAAACAGATAGCTCTATTTTGTGGGCAACKTGGAGAAACTTCAAAGAAGTGGAAACTGAGATTGTCAGATATATGCTTGCTTTTGGTACATCACCGGGTAAGGACGATATACAGGAATTTACTAATGTTGGACTTGTCCAGAACGCTGCAAGCACACGTTTGAGAGTTTCTAAACTAACAAGTGGTCAGCGATACTACGCTACTGTTATAGCACTGAACAGTATTGGAATACAAAGCACTCCTGTTTCTTCTAATGGCGTTATKGTCGATGCAACTCCTCCAGTGTTTGTTGTTCCCGTGACACATGGCTCCGGAAAAGGTAAAGTTGACAAATTCACAAGACTTCAAATACTKGATGTMTATTGGAAGTGTGTTGACAAGGAAACAGACCTAAACTCTGTTGAAGTAGCGTTTGGACTTCAGCCAGGATCGCACGACGTTATGAATTTGACAAATGTWCCAGTTCATCAAACGAAWTATGCTTTGCAATCCAACCTTCAACTTGGTATAAGATATTTTGCTACMGTTATTTGCAAGAACAAAGTAGGACTCAAGTCGATTTCATCYTCGGTTGGAGTAGTTTATGACAGTACCCCTCCCAAAGGCCTAAGTGTATTTGACRGTGACTATCAAAATTCTACAACTGAAATCACAGTTCAGTGGAAATTCATTGACATCGAGAGTGGGATMTCAAGATATCAAGTCTTAGTATTMAATTCTGACCTGTCTTTCCAACAAGGGCCTTACGATTTTCAGGGCCTTGTCAAATCAGCATCAATTTCTCTTAAGCGTMCGCTTGAAGCTGGTAAAAGATATTAYACTAATGTCACTGCGTACAACGGTGTAGGGATGCAATCATCACTACTGTCAGATGGATTYATTATTGATAATACTGCGCCAACTTGTARAAATGTATGGCACGGCGACAAAGAAATTCAGCGTTTCATTGGAATTWCAAGTACTCTTCTTATTTCATGGGAWTGCGCTGAAAATGAATCSGMCATCACMCTGGTTCGTTTTGCAGTACAAGATATGAGYAATCAACATTTCATATTGCCATTCCATTCCAARAAGGAAAAGCTGAATGCAACAGGAACAACTTTGGTGACTGGAAACGGAAAATGGCTTCCCAAATACGAAGARGGAAAGAAGTATCGAGTTGGTATAGAACTTACAAATAAAGTTGGTCTAAAGTCTATTTTCTGGACAAAAGGAGTCCTCGTAGATAGTACACCTCCAGTTGCGAACAATTTAAAGCTAAAGTTCAATCCTGCAAGTAATAMCATTGATGCTAGCTGGAAGCTAAAAGATGAGCAAAGTGGGATAGCCTCTTTAACTTGGGGTCTGGGAACAAGATCTGAAGATCCTAACATTGTTAATCAACARAAAATTGACAAAGCAACCTCTGCTTTGAGGCTAGGTCAATCTCAAGTTCAAGTTCAACAAGGAAAAACYTATTTCTTTTTCTTGTTTCCGACTAACAATGCTGGYCTCTCAAGTAAGGCAGTGTCAAATGGAATCGTWATTGATAGATCTCCACCAAAARSTGGAATCGTTATAGCACAGTATGCTTTACCTCTRAACTACGATAGAAATAAAGATAAAGTTCCTGGATCTTCTTTTAGTGTGTCGTGGACAGGTTTCCTAGACGAGGAAAGTGGGATAGCAGAATACGGTTGGGCAGTTGGCACTGTCTTGGAAACTGTACAAAAYCTTGATGATAGTTATTTCACGGACATTCCAGTCAATCAGTCAATTGGTGGTGTACAAATCTATAATTTTACTCTAGTTGGGAATACAACATACTTTGTGTGTATCAGAGCGACGAATGGAGCTGGACTACAAAGGACTAACTGTTCAAATGCTATGAAAGTCGTACTTGGAAAGTTTTCCGCAGGCATTGTCAACGACGGACCCAGGAAATTTAAGAAAGATCTGGACTTTCAACTTGATGATAGAGCCATATGGGCACATTGGGATGGATTTGAAGATCCTGTGTTTGGTGTGTCTGATTACGAATGGTGCATTGGTGATCATCAGCCAGTACCCTCGTCAAAATACTTGTGTAAATGGTCTTTTATGAAAGTTAATCACCTTCGAAAGTATGCTCACCGCTTYTATAACATCACACTTTCWCATGGGAAAACYTATTACGCAACMGTAAAAGCCTTYAATAGCAGAGGAGAAAGTGTTTACTCRACGTCAGATGGTGTTTTAGTWGATMGAAGTATCCCACATGGAAATGTAATCCAMGTATCACCAACTACTGGTAAAGACACGCTATTCATAAGCTCTCTCTCTCCACCAACTATYACGTGGGAAATGGATGAYMAAGAAAGCGGCATAAGCTATTTTACAGTCGGTGTCGGATCGTATCCRAACCAAGACGACCTATTGCAGTTTACAAGACTTAGCAGCCTGCAGAGATCTGTTGATCTTGATGAYCTGAACTTTACCATGTCACATGGTCTCTCATTCTTCGTAGCAGTTACTGGTTACAACAGGCTTGGTTTGATGTCAAGCTTATTCACACAGCAGATTGTAGTCGATTTAACACCACCCACGTCTGGGGTTGTCCACGATGGGAATATKACGGACCAAAATAATGTCCAAGATACCGATTATCAAACAAACACCCAAGCATTGTCTGCCCACTGGTTTGGTTTCGAAGATCAGGAGAGCAGAGTTGTGGAATATAGATGGTGCATTGGAACCAAACAAGGTAAATATATGTTTTTTTTTAGTGGATAACAATTGTATTCAAAAGAATATCTCAAAGATATATGACAGTAAGAAAGAAGAGTGAATGCATGCATGGRGGRATATTGATGCATAGATATGAAAAAGAAAGAATTTAAAAAGCTAAACAACCATCAAATTAAATTATTTATAAGAAAATGGATGATCGGATGAAAGAAGGGAAATATTATTCTTTGAAAACTTTCTGCACATATCCTATATGTACRCGTCTTAATTTTTAATCATAATAGAACGAATGTTGTTTGTTTCTTAGGTTCGTGTGACGTACTTTCGATGACGTCAACTGGTCTTCAGACATCTGCAACAGCACACCTAAACCTGCAAGAAGGAACTCGTTACTTTACTACAGTGGAAGCCAAAAACTCAGCTGGGCTGAAGGTGCTGACGTCATCTGATGGAGTTGCAGTTGACTCCAGTCCACCCACCATTGGCATTATCTCTTTTGTTCAGCCAAGTGAAGATACAACTTTGAAAATGGTGAATGACGCTACTTTCCAAAGCAGTGGTAGACATTTCAAAGTAGAATGGAGCAAAGCCTCTGATGGCGAAAGTGGYATAGCCGCTCTCTCTTACTGTGTTGGGAAGAATCGAAGCACTTGCGATGTTAAAAAATGGACAGCTTTAGAACCTGTAGCGTCTTCAATATTGGGAACTTTTGAAACCCCTCTTCCTTCAGGAACAACAATTTACGTTTCCTTAAAAGCTGAAAATGGCGCTGGTTTAAGCGTCATGAAGGTATCTAAAGGTCTATCAATAGACTGGTCTCCACCAAMCTTAGGTTCGGTTTCCGTAGGAAACGTCCCTGGGGTGAAATATCTACAAAAAGATGAGGGCGTTGAAGCTGATTGGGGTRGCTTCAATGATCTTGAARCTGGATTGGATCATTATGAGTGGGCAGTGTGTCAAGCAGTCGACCKAGATAAATGTCTTACACCGTTTATTAATACAGGACTATCAACCAAACTAAAGAACGATGARCTTGATCTAGTGCCARGCATCACATATGTTGTAATAGTCAAAGCATACAACAAAATTGGTCTTCATAGTTACGCTGTTTCCAACATCTTTGYGACCGAYAACTCATTACCAACCCCCGGCGACGTTTATGATGGTARCATACCATACATGGATCAACAAGTACAAAGCTCAACTWCATCTATCTCAGCAAACTGGGATCCATTCAAAGATCAAAATTCCAGGATAATTAATTACGAAATGTGTATTGGAAGTAGACAATCATTCTGCGATGTACATCCATTTCAAAGCATTGGTGATAACCTTTTAGGTGAAGTTACTGGACTGAACTTAGCTCACAAGCAGACATATTACACAACCATTCGCGCAACGAATGAAGCAGGATACAAAGCATCAGCATCATCGAACGGCGTCACAATTGACAAAACACTGCCTGTGGGAGGGTCGGTACGCGACGGYAATGACGCTGAAGATATTGACTTTCAAGCAAGCGGCACATTTATTTCTGCAAACTGGGATCAGTTTACCGATGARGAAACTGGAATTGCTAAGTATGTGTGGTGTGCAGGKACAACCCGAGGGTCGTGTGACGTTGTTCAAGAAAGAGAAATCACTGWTGGTAGCACAAAAGTTCAAATCCAGGTTAATCCTTCAATTGTTTCTGGAGTATCAGTCTTTGTGAAAGTAACAGCAGTGAATGGCGCTGGTGGTATAAAAAYATTGTATTCTGATGGAGTGAAGATTGACARCAGTCCTCCTGAACTCTCCAAGGTAATTTATTTTGATAGGCCATATGAGTTTAATGTATGCTAACGATTACTTACCCAACGTATCTCTTTATTAGGTCAATGATTTAGAGACAAATGGCAGTTTGGCTGACATTGAYTTTCTTACATCGAAAACAAAGTTCTGTGCTTCATGGGACGCCGCTGACCAGGAGAGCGGGATACTCAAGAGTGAAATTTCAGTTTGTACAGAAAATAACCGAAAGAACTGCCTGGCCAGTTCTGTTGACGTTGGAAACCGCTCYCTTATTTGTATGTCTAACTTGSAWTTTATWCCTGGWGTGAAATATATCACTACTATCAGYGTGACTAAYGCTGTAGGACTAAGTACCAGTGCAGACTCTGATGGATTTACACTTGATTTCACTCCACCAATAAGTGGAAAGRTCAAAGTTGGAAACACTTCTACCGACATTGAAGAACCCTCAAATATGTTTACTAGTTCTGTCATAAAAGCAAAATGGMATGGATTCTGGGATACGGAAACTGCGATAGTGAAATATCACGTCTGTCTTGGGAATCATTCAGGCTCTTGTGAAGCTGTAGATTGGAAGGATGTGGGACTGAGTATGGAGTATACATTTGATAACATAGATCTKCGAGCCGGTGWCATATACTACGTGTCAGTTTTTGCTGAGAAYCAGGCTGGTCTAAAGAGCGCCGTAGAATCGTCGCAGGGAATAAACATCGATAAAACAGGTTAGATATAAGACGTGCAAATCCATAAAATATTATGGGGGAATATGCATACTCAAACGTATAATCTTGTATGATATCTTATTGTGCAGTTATTTTCCATCTTCTCCCGTTTCATACTTTCGCTAAGCTTATTAAAACAACATTTTCCCGTCTTTCTAGAGAAAATTTAAGGGCCATTTTCACCCTAGATGCTTTGCGACAGTTTGTTTTTGTTTTAAAGATAAGTGCTTAGGTTTAGCGAATCAAGCTTTGAATCTTGAGCTGCATATGCTGTAATTTTATTTCTTGCTTTATCGTAAGCTTTGTTGTGCGCAAAGCTTCCAAAATAAGACTGGGATGTGAGTTGTGGGCTTGAATTCGACGCATTCGATGATGACGAAATATGAAACCATTCATATTRTTTTACAGCTCCCATATCTGGAAGCGATATCTATGACGGCGCTGCAGAGGGGTCTGACGTCGATTTCCAGCTAMTTGATTACGAAATTAGTGCAAACTGGAAGCCATTTGAAGATCCAGAGAGCGACATCGTTAAATTGACATATTGTGCGGGCACCACTCCTAGTTACTGCGATATTCTATCACGGCAAACCTTGTCGCCATGGCTACACAATATACGCAAGATTCTCAGCCAACCAGTAAGAAATGGCCAGCGGGTCTACATAACTGTGCAGGCAACMAATGGTGCTGGTCTAACAACGACATTGTCGTCAGACGGTGTTACCATTGACAACACTCCACCTATACCTGGTAAAGTGATTGATGGAAATTCATCTAAAGATATCGACTATCTTTTTGGGGAGGGTGACGTCTACGTAACCTGGTCGAACTTCAGGGATGACCAAAGTGGTATCAAGAACTATGAAGTCGCGATTTGCAATGCTCTCAGCGTGAATGAATGTCCTCAAAAACTCACGAACGTTAACAATGCAACGAGTATTAAGATAGCAGGTAAATTATGMATGATGTGGTATCATACGAACTAACGGARTGCTTTGCTTACTTTCTTTTGTATAGCATATTGAATTCAGCCATTCAATATCTCTTGATGCCCTTTTAAATACTTGCCACCCAAACATATTGCTATGTTTGATGCAGCTGCAAATGAATATCGATGCATTCATTAAGATTTAGCTCAAAATACGATATATATTTTATTAGGATTAGATTTGCAAGGTGGAGCGTTGTATTTCGCCAAAGTGAAGGCCACAAACCAAGCAGGCTTACAGACCGAAGTATGGTCAAATGGTTTTACTGTGGATTTTACTGCCCCTGTCGCAAATGTTGCTTTTATTGGACCCAGTGCCGACARGCAAGCGCAGTATCAAACAAATGCTACAAAACTTCAAGTGGGGTGAGTCTAATGATTTGTTAGAATTGTACCTAAAAAAAAAGGTTGAGTAGCGATGCACAGATGCCGAGAGTAGTGTAGACTGCTTAGATGCGTGTTTGTGTATATTTCTATATCATTAACTGAATAGCAAATAGATTTGTTAATGAAACATGATCCCAAGACGAGTATCAGGTGTCATTCGTAAGAACAAGCACTCCGTGGTTTCCAATGCTTATGAATGCAAAATATAGTYAACTGTTATTTTCATCATTTTGGTACATCGAGAAATATTCATAATTTTTTTTATTTCTTATCGTTTTTAGGTGGGTTCCTTTTACTGATGATGAAAGTGGAGTAGTGCAGTATGAGTTATGTGTTCAGTTGTCAACGTCATCCGCTGATTGCACGCCTTATCAAAATGTAGGAAAGCTAACCCAACATGAACTCACAGGACTAAATCTCCGACATGGTCAATCCTACTTTGTCAATATTAGAGCTACCAATGGTGTTGGGATGACTGCGTCTACKAGAACRAAGGAMRTCCTAATCGATACTACTCCGCCTAAASTTATTGATMAATCTCCCRGMTCCCATGTGCGWTTCTTCTGTACAGAAGAGCTTGTCAGCGTTAACTGGGACGAGTTTGAAGACTCTGAAAGTCACATGGATAGATATGAATGGTGCGTTGGTACAGCAACAGGAAAATGCGACGTCACTGAGAGAAAATCTGTACASCTGAAATTAATAGGCCGAAAAGTTGTGAAGAGATTGTCTTCTGGAAGYCGTCTATTTGCAAGTGTATCTGCATATAACAAAGCTGGGTTAAAATCAGTCCTGATRTCCAAGAAATGTGTTGTCATAACTGTTGCTCCGAAAGTTRACATGGTGTCTGATTTGGAACACAACAGCTCTTCAGATGACGATATTGACTGGACATCAAATATGAAAACGCTATCCTTTAAGTTTAACACTATTGGGAAGTTCCTTGATGATATTTCGCGCATGCGCCTTGAGGTCGCTGTCACAAGAACATCAGCAAATATAACGTTACCAAGACTTGAGCAAGGRAAATCATGGCAAGGAGAACAACTAGCGCAACCCTTTATGGCTCTTCACCCCGGTCAACACAATGCAACCATAGAAACATTTTCTGTGAAACCTTGGGAAGAGTATCGTGGTATTGTACGGTTGTCTAATGAGGGAGGAATTTACTCTGAAAAAAGCAGCGACGGTCTCCGCATTGAGCCTAATCCACCACTGCCCCGTGAGGTAGACCTTGTAAATAGTGCAGATGAGAATGAGAAAAATAGATGGTTGCCAGACTTGCATTTGCCGTTGTTCAATTTGACTGATCTTGATCCTGACGTAACTTATATCTCTTCGCCAGATGACATCTCTATCGCCGTAAGTGATAAACTAAACGGTACTAACTCGTCTCTTAGCAACTTGAATAGAATATTGGACAGCGGTGCGTATAGTCCAACTATGGAATTTAAACTTGTGGTGAATAGAGTCACTTCAGAGCCTAACAAGACTAACACAACCGAGCAAAGCCTAGAAACTAAAAAGCTCCCAGGGTTTGCGAATCCTTCTGGACCTTGTTGTACTAATCACACTCCTCATTGGCTCGCCATGAAGTCAGACTTCCATTATAAACTAACTTCAAATACAAAAAAGTTTGGATCATGTGTTGTACAACTACCTTATGACCTTGTTGCTGTAAGTTCCTCGCATTCCCTCTTCATTTTATCAAAGTTAAACCGACTTCAAAAGACTGAGGCTTTTTCTGTTGGTGRCCAAAGAACGATTTCTAGCTTGTCATACTCCGAAAACCACTTGGCAGTAGCGTCCAATTCACATATYAGCATCCTGAGGCTTCGGTTCAATGGCAATGGGGAGGCAAATATAGATTTAGAAGCATCGCTATCAACATCTATGTGGCCAGACATAACAGCTGAAGCAGTTGCAATAGARAACACCACGTTGGTCACCAATGGAAAGARTKCAGCTTTRAAAACAGGCGTAGTCGGAGTCTTTGTAGGCAAAGGGGGCAATTGGAAGCTTTTCAAATCACTTCGACGAACAAATARTGACCTTACCTTTGGCAAATCGCTTGCCTTGAATGATAAAGTACTTGCGGTTTTAACAGGAGAAGATTCTGTCATTGTATACTCAACAAAAGACTATTCGACAATCATGGAAGTCGATTTGAGGAACTATAAACTCCTTGAGCCTTCATTACGCTTGACCAAAGATAACGCTTTGGTTGTTGTTTCAAAGAAGGCAARGGGAAAAGTTATTGTGATTCAAATAAACACAGCTATGAAGACATCAACAACTGTTTGCTCTTACGATGTACCATCGGATGTCCGCCTTAGTGGTAGATTTGACTTGATGGCAAGGGATGGTGGGACCGTAGTCGCGCTTGGGATGCAGACAATGAAAGGTCGTGATGGAGTGATACTTACAGGATTCGACGGAAGCTATGCGTACCATCCCTTCCACGAGAAAGGTAAATGTATTGGWCTTGGAAGAATCATAGCCAATGAGTACGTTCCACGTGTAGATGACGGCACACCACGTGCTAGTGTTTCTGCTAAGGGATCRACGATTCTCTTTGGTACACCTGGAGTAATGACRTGGCCAGACGGAAGTGAGAAAGACGGTACTGGACGCCTTTATAGCRTGGTTCATTGCCCGAGAAACTATAAAAGAATTAGGAAATCAAACATTAAAGTCCAAGATACATTCCAATGTGCGCCCTGTGAACCTGGTAGAAAGTCCCTTGGAGCTATAACGAGAATTTGTGMAATWTGTACTGAACGGAAATGTGCGTCGGTTCTTGGAAGTGATCCAATTCATTTTAAAACAAAGATTTGCAATACTTCCCAGTGTCCTCTTGTTAAGAAGTTTGACAATAAAACCAACGCCATTAAGGTTCAACAAGATGAGGATACTTTCTTCCAMGAAGGAGCATTTAATGAATATACTGTCGAAGTTATTGAAACCACCCGCGCAAAGATGTCAACAACGTCGAAATCAAAGGCGTTCATCATAGATTTAACATCACCTACTGTGGGAACCGTGTACRATGGACTTGGAAGCGATCCTAAAACAAACTGTTCCAAAAACGAAACCTTTGGTGAGGAYAGCCAATGCTCCACACGCAAATTTCAAGATACAGATATCGAGTATACGAACATAACAAGTGAAGTCCACGCGCGCTGGGTCGACTTTGCTGATAATGAGAGCGACATCGCAGAGTATTTCTTTTGCGTCGGTTCAAAACCAATGAAGGATGATATCCGTCGATGTGAAAGTAATGGGTTAAGACAAAATGCCAGTAAATTCGGTTTCGACTTCAAGCAAGGTGACACGTATTATGTGACGGTTGTAGCGTGCAATGGTGCTCGACGGTGTTCRGCTGGATATAGCAATGGTGTTACCATAGATACGACACCGCCTAAAATGCTGTATGTACGWGATGGTGTTCTTGGTCCTGACATAGATTATCAGGTATGMTTTTGCAATACTTAATATGAAATATTTTGACTTACAGCATGAATTCTGATGGCTGTAACCAAATAGTATTTGCCTTAAAGGAATACAACTAAAAAATATTTATTCATAATTTATCAACTCACAAATTTCATGTCACTYAGGTATTCGTCGATATCATATTTGCGTATTTCAAAGCCAGCGATCCGGACAGCGGCGTTACGTCATACGAGGTAGCCTGGGGCACGGCTCCAGGAATGATSGACACTAAGGACTTCGAAGAAATAGGARAMACAACCACTTGGTTTGCTCAGTTCAAAGACAACGGCTTARAAAAGAAAACCAAGTATTATGCCACTGTCAGAGCCACCAACAAAGCTGGYCTTATGTCAGAGCATTTATCATCCAATGGTGTACTTGTCGGAAAATCGGAGTACATTTTTGATAAAAACGCGTCTGCGAATTTCTTCTTTGACACGGTCAATATGAACCCTAACGGAACAAGGAAGGACGGAGGTGTTGGAAAGACTTATGGCACTTTGGATGTCCCTAAAGGAGCCGTGGAAGATGAAGTTAAGCTTACTTGTTACAGCCTCGATAAAAAGACCTTGGAGTCGAAYAAATCAGAYGAAGGTCCTGTTTCAAATCCAGAAATAACCAAACCCAAGGTATGAGTTTATATTAAACGACTCTTCTTTTATTTGTTACTGAAAATTGTTATTTTTCATGTACAGCAATTCATGCTTGGCAACTACAGTTTCCAAATCAAAGCTCATGACCCTCAGAACAACACMRTACGGGAAGGCTACAAGTTTGCCAAGCCRATCACAGTGTCYATGTTTTATGACGTAGATAATTTAGTCAATGCCAATAAACGTGTTGTCAACAAGGAGCTGAATAAGGACGACGTTGATCCTGTGYTGTACTTATGGGATCTAAAGAATAARACTTGGTATGTTTTATCTCAATATTCCTTCCCTAATTTCCTCTTACATGTACATTGCGTTTCCCCATCTTCTCTTCTTGACCACACCTTTTTCTCATTTATCTTATTTTTTCTTGATTTTTTTTCGAATCTTCGTTCTCTCCTTTCCATCTTCATTTATTCGTTCCATCCTTTCCCCCTTCTTTCGTTTTTTTTTCGTTCTCCTTTCGATCTAAACTTGTATCCTCCACCTTCTCTCCTTCTCCTTTCCTGTTCCACACTTACTTCCTACATCCTAACTTTTCTTCGTTCAAAAATTACTCCACCTTTCCATGATCTTCCTCCCTTTCTTTGCKTATTTGTCTGAARCCACCATCTTTGCATCAACGTTGTTGACATTATTTGAAATTGTCATTCATCCCACTTTTGTCTGCACAGGATCGATGCCTCCCATACATGCCCTGAACCTTGGTCACATGTAAACAGATCGATTAAGTTACTTACCGTTAAGATCTGCCA